CTCGAGACCACTTGTTCTCCCCCACTTTGCCTATGGGGGTGTGTCAGAACATTATAGCTTATACATTTGTGTAGGCTGTAGTGGGGTAGCCCATAAGGGGTACAACCCAATTAGGGTTAGTACTTGTACCCAGCTCTTTGCTAGTTCATTCATTCTCGTTCACACATTCTAACAAAGTCTACTACGACTTCGCCGACAACGGTTATGCTACACCCCAACCAGTCGACACCAACGTCTCTAAACGCATAGGGCCCAACTTCTTACCTGATCCAAAAGCAGGAGATGAAGCAGCTTATCCCGAGGACGCAAATCTCCCCCGCTACACACACTGTGGGCTGCAGATACTGGGACTCGTCACTGCTGTCCACGGAGCGGCACCACCTAAAGAGCCTGCCACTTTTCAGCAAGCTCAGGGGGGGAACACAGGGAAAAATGGCGCGAAGCCATGGACAGAGAATTAAAGGCATTGCAAGAACGCAACACCTGGAAAGTTGTGCCTATCGGAGTGGCACGCAACAAGACCATCCTCACGGGAAAATGGGTTTTCTGCGTGAAAACGAAAGCCGATGGAACAATAGACAAATTCAAGGCACGCTGGGTTGTGCGCGGCTTCGACCAAGAGCATGGACGAGACTTCACCGAAACATTCGCGCCAGTTAGCCGACACACCTCAGTACGGATTCTTCTCGCGATAGCCGCCATGGAGCGGAAGAAGCTCCGCCAAATCGACGTCGACAACGCTTTTCTTTATGCTCCCGTCGACGCTGAGATCTTCGTCGAACAACCACACGGATTGAACGTGTCAGAAACCCAACCACTAGACCATTGGGATAAAAGGGCTTGTTTGTGTAGCGGGTTTGTGCGCCCATAACCCCCCAGGCGAACGCGCCTGTAAACCCCCCCTAGGATGAATCGGGCATCCACAGTGCAGATCTACTGACACCCCCTCACACTGGGAGGCACAGGACTGAGCACAGCGGCAATGGCCTACATGTGCATACACCGGGATTTGAACCCGAGACCACTCTGATAACATGTAAGAATCCCAGTCACTAGACCACTGGGATAAAGGGCTTGTTAAGTAGTGGGTCGGTGCGCCCATAACCCCCTAGGACAACGAGCCTGTAACCCTTCCCTAGGATCAATCGAGGATCACTAGTGGACCTCTGATACCCCCCCGCACTGGGATGCCTGAAGTACACACACCGGGATTCGAACCCGAGACCTTCGCTCTGATACCATGTGAGAATCCCAGTCACTAGACCACTGGGATAAAGGGCTTGTTTGTGTAGCGGATCATAGTGCGCCCATAACCCCCCAGGCGAACGCGCCTGTAACCCCCTTAGGATCAATCGGACATCCACAGTGCAGATCTACTGACACCCCCCCATATAGTGGGAGGCCCAGGACTGAGCACAGCGGCAACGGCCTACATGTGCATACACCGGGATTCGAACCCGAGACCACACTGACACCATGTTAGAATCCCAGTCACTAGGCCATCGGGATAGAAGGGCTTGTTTGTGTAGCGGGTTTGTGCGCCCATAACCCCCCAGGCGAACGCGCCTGTAACCCCCCCCTAGGATCAATCGGGCATCCACAGTGCAGATCTACTGACTGAACGTAGACCCAAACCAAATATGTCAGCTGGAAAAATCACTGTACGATATCCAGGAAGCCTCAAGACTATGGCAGCAGCATCTTCACGCCCGACTAATCCGCATCGGATTCAGCCAACTACCGCACGACCAAGAAATGTATTGTCAGAAACAAGAAGGAAGTTAGGAATGAGAAAGAGAGAGAGGGGTTTCACTAGCAAGCAGTTGAGTACATATAGCAAACCCTAAATTGGGCTGTACTCACTATTGAGTACCCCACTGCAGGCTAGACAAAACATAACATTCTGACACACCCCCATAGCCAAATTGGGGTGTAATCAGCACAACAAACAAAGCAAAACAAGCTCAGGGTGGATCACAACGTCACCACACATTCTGAGCACAAGTACAAGAAGTAGCAGTTTATAGTTCACAAATATAAGCAAAGCTAGAGGCAGTCACAGACGGTAAGTGAGGAGGAGGAGGGACTGTGAGAGGAGAAGAGATAGGAGACGACAGGTGAAGCTGCAGACACACGGGCAACAGCAGCGGCGCGCACTGTGGCTACCGGAGATTGTAGCCTCCGGACTACTGGAGTAACTGGCTCCGCGACTAACTCTGAGCTGCAGTAGCAACGGACCCACGGGCGACTGGCGCAGCAGGCTCGCTGGGCTACCGGAGATTGTAGCCTCCGGACTACTGGCGCTGCAGGCGACATGACGGCTGCCTCCGCCCAACCTCCCTCTAACTGTCTCACCCCCCTTTTCACACACCCCCTGCTGCACCCCTAGGTTCACTCACACTCCACCCCCTAGCACCACTCCGTCGACTCCCACACACCCACCCCCCTCAGCGGCAGCTGCAGCAGTGGGAGACGGAGGAGGAGGAGGAGCAGGTGATGCCACACACCCGCCACCCCCCACTCGCCACCCCCAAACCCTAACACAGGGCAGGGCCGGGCAGGGCAGGGCCGGGACAGGGCCGGGTAGGGCCGCGACGAAGACGGGAGGGGCCAACGCGCGGCCCCCTTCTGTCGCCCGCGGCCCCCCCCCAGGGTCGCCTCGATAGGCGACGGGAAGTGGGGCCGCGCGGGCTCCCGTTGGCGCCGCGACGGGCGACGAAGGGGGGGGGCCGCACGGGCCCCCGTTGGCGCTGCGACGGGCAACGAAGGGGGGGGGGGGGCGGGCCCCCGTTGGCGCCGCGACGGGCGACGAAAGGGGGGGGGGGGGGGGCGCGCAGGCCCCTGTTGGCGCCGCGACGGGCGACGAAGGGGGGGGGGGGGGCGCGCACGAGCCCCCCCGGGCGATGAAACCGCCGTGCGCCCCGAGGCGCGCGACGGGCAGGGCACCGTCGTGCGCCACGGGGCGCACGACGGCCAAATCAGGGCGTCGCGCTGCCCCCAGGGCGGCGCGACGAGCCGAAAACCGCTGCGCGCCCATAGCGCACGGCGGGAAGAAAAAGGGCCGCGCGGCAGGCAGGAAGATAGCGCGCGCCCGAGGCGCGGGATAGGCAGTGTAGCAGCGGAAGACAATGGTGGGCCCATCCACAGGATCGACCCGTGAGGGTCGACCTGCTCTGATTCCATGTTAAGAAACCAACCACTAGACCATTGGGATAAAAGGGCTTGTTAAGTAGCGGGTCAGTGCGCCCATAACCCCCCAGGACAATATCTAGGACTCAACATACAAGACGGGGAAAACCCAATCTACCTTAGCGCAGCGAAATACGCCGACACCATCGCCAAACGTTTCGGACTAACTCCAGCTACCATCACTACGCCATATCGTTACACCGATGGAAACCGCAAGGAAGCCTCCGCCCTACTCAAACTCGCCGGCATTCGCGACTACCAACGAGAGCTAGGCTATCTACTCTTCGTAGCCGTCATCTGTCGACCAGATATATCATACTCAGCGAGCGAGCTCGCCACCTATCTCAAGAAACCCGAAGCAGATCACATGGCGGTGTGAGAATAACAAACGAGAATGAATGAACTAGCAAAGAGTTGGGTACAAGTACTAACCCTAATTGGGTTGCACCCCTTATGGGCTACTCCACTATAGCCTACACAAATGAATAAGCTACAATGTTCTGACACATCCCCATAGGCAAAGTGGGGGAGAACAAGTGGTCACAAGACCAGTCACGAAAAGCAAAGCAAGCTGAGGGTGGATCACAAAGTCACCACACAGTCCGAGCACAAGCAAAGGGCCACAAGGCCAGTTCACATGCAGAGTTATATAAAGGAAACAAACAATACAGTGATCATACCTTAGCAAGTGCAAGCATGCAGGTATATATAGAGATCACAGTACAAACAAGGTCAAGCAGTGAGCAAGTGAGGCAAAGTGGGCACAAGGCCTAACACAGTAGCAAAGCGCTGATGATCACCAGGCGAAAGTGCCTTGGTGAAGACATCAGCAGTGTTGGCCCGAGTGGCCACGTACGCAAGACGAAGCTGGCCACGCTGCTGCAACTCTCGAGCAAGGAAGTATCAAAGAGCGATGTGCTTTGTTCTGTGCTCTAGTCTGTGCTCATGACACAAGGCAATCATGGCTGTTGGTGCAACCCTACGGTTTGCATTCGGCTTGTTGTCCGTGTGCGTGCATGCGTGTGTGCATGGAATGGTATGAGAGCATGAAATAATATATATATTTCATGCTTACAATAGTGTGTGAATGATGAGGCATGATTTTGAATGTGTGTGTTGAGTCAATAGCGAGTTATCGCTAGTCGCGTGTCATGTCGTCGTTTGCGTGTCGTGTGCGGTTTTCTATTTTTGTCGTGTGTGGAACGTTCGGCGTGTCGCAGGTGTGCGCAGAAGACTTCCAAGAACTCAAGGAAGAATTTATCTTGAAGAACCAGAGCCTTGGTTTCAAAAATCAAGTGATTTCGAAGCTCTCCAAAAGGGTAAACTTTAAGATAGTGAGAATAGTTGCATTACTTTGTGTAGTGTAACATTTCTCTTGGTGTAGGCCCTTGTGGAGGGTAGTTTCGAGACCCTTCGTGGTTGCGGACAGTGTGGCACTGTTCCACATCACTGTACCTCGGCTCTTGGGGTTTGTAGGAGCTGGGAGTCATTCCCAACTCGTAACTCTTCCTAACCCTTCCTATCTTGTGTTCTAAGACTATAGTGGCTGTCATAGTACCGTTCGTTCAAACCAACGCTGTGTCGTCAATTATTTATGAAATCGTGCAATCTAAATTGCTTATTGTAGGCGACGTAAAGACGCTCCAAATCCAATTTGAATCAAGTCATTTGTAGTTGTGAGCAGAACGCTATCAACGTTTGAAGCCGCTGTGCAGAAATCCGTCTGTGCTCTCTATCTTTCGTTTTAGGCACATTCAAGCCTATTGTGACTATAACAAGTGGTATCAGAGCCCCTTGGAGCAGTTTCAACAATGGCTGGACCTGAGGAAAGGGGTGGCAGAGGTGCTGGTGGCAGTGGAGAACCCCAAGCTCAAGGCCAACCCCGTGATTCAGCCATGACGCCCGTGCAACCAAGTGTTGGCCCACCTAGGGATGAGCCTAGGGTGTTTGGGCTTGACAAGTTCAATGGCGACAACTTCGCTGAGTGGTCCTTCAGAATGGAGAATGTATTCGACCACTATGACCTGCTGGAGGTGATGGAAGGAACGGAGAAGCGCCCCGAGAACGACCCGGAGAAGAGCCCGTGGGTGCGGAAGAGCGCACAAGGCTATCTCCTACTTGGGCAAGCGTTGGGGAGCAGCCAGATCCGTCACATCAAGCCATTCCAGCGTGAACCAGAGAAGGGACCAAAGGCATGGGCTGCTCTCAAGGGTGTACATGCTCCTGCAACAGCGGCGGTAGCGGTGGTGTTGGAACGGCAAATGGCGGCACTACGAATTGAAGAAGACGAAGCGGTTGAAGAAGGGGTGCAGAAATTCTTCGACTTGTTGACGCGGCTTGAGGGAGCTGATTTGAACTACAGTGAGCTCCAAAAGAAGACCAAGTTGCTGGCCTTACTCCCAGAGTCATGGTCCTCTCTCATCATCAACCTCAATCGTAACTTGCCCCGCCTCTCGCTCGAAGACGTGAAGCGAGCGATCCTTCAAGAGGATTTCCGTCGCCGTGAGTTGGCGAGTGCGGATGGCGCCGGGGCAGCAAGCATCGGCCGTGGATATGGCCGTGGAAGGGGCACAGGACGAGGAGGAGGAAGGTTTGGAGGCAGCAACTTCAACGGAGGCCGCGGGAGTAGCAGATACGGCAATGACAACAAGAACAATGGACGCGGTCGCGGACGATTCGACGGCGAGTGTCATTTTTGCCACAAGAGCGGACACATGTGGCGCGATTGCTACAAACTCCCTGATGGATGGACTCCTGCTCAAGGCCAAGAGGGTAGAGGAGCAGGAGGAGGGAGAGGAAGAGGCCGTGGAGGCCGTGGCGGTCGCGGAGGTGGTGCTGCAAGTATGAAGAGTGCCGGCAACGAGAGCGAGTCGAGGGACGATCGCTTTCCGGGTCAATTCTTCTTCGTGTCCACGCAAGCATCGGCTGGTCCAGAGAAGGATGAAGGCTTTGAGGAGCCAGCAGCTGTGGGGAAGGTCACCCTACACTCCCTGGATTATTGCGTGATCGATAGCGGCGCTACCTATAGCATGACACCTCGTGCGGACTTGCTCACTGAACTTGAGCCGTCACCGGTGAAGCATGTGATATCGGCTTTGGGGCAGCGAGCAGAGGTGAAAGGCATGGGCAAGGCCATGTTCAAGGGTGCGGATGGGAAGATGGTGGGCCTCAAGAACGTGCTTTGGGTGCCCAACCTTGCTGCCAACCTGATTTCCGTGCGGCGGTTGCAAAAGGCCGGCATGGACACGAGCTCGAAGGGAGCTAAGACCTACACCGCGAGGCTTGGCGAGAGGATTCTTTGGGACCTTCACGAGGATAGGGATGTCTACAACGAGATGTGGCAGATCCCTGTGGTACCCATGCCTAAGGAAAGGCAAGTGGCAGCAAGCATCAGCACCAAGGGTGAAGCGGTTGGTAGCGGCGATGGCGCGAACGGTCGCGCTAAGGAGATTGAGTCTAAGAAGTGCAATCTTGGAGGGACCAGCAAGCTCGGAGAACACAAGGAGAGGAGAACCCCAAGGCAGTAGCGGAGGAGGAGTACGGAGAGAGCATGTGGGGCACCATTGCGAGTGCGGCATTCTCCAATCCGACATCGGCTACGGGGGAGTGTGATTGGCTCACCTTGCATCGGCGCATGGGGCATGTGGCCCTGCCCATCTTGCAGCAGCTAGTGAAGGATGAGATGGTTGCTGGCATACGTGTGAAGGGGGAGCCCGATGAGGTACTTGGCTGCCCGACGTGCATGCAAGCCAAGTTCACCCGTTACCCGTTCTCTAGTTCGGAGGCAACGGCTAAGGCACCACTTGATGAGGTGGTGATGGACGTGGTGGGCCCCCTGAAGCTTGGAGCTGCTGGAGCTGGGTACTTTCTCACCATAGTGGATGTCTACACTCGCATGACCTGGGTGTACGTGCTGTCCAAGAAGAGCTACGTGGCTGAAACGGTGAAGACCGATTGGTTGCCGATGGTGGAGCGGCAACAAGACCGGCTAGTGAAGGCAATTCGCACCGATCGAGGAGGAGAGTTCCTGAGCAAGGAGTTCTCATTGTGGCTGAAGAAGAATGGCATAAGGCACTCCCTTACCATGCCATACTCCCCTGCAATGAACGGCATCGCCGAGCGAGCGAACCGGACAATCACGGAGACGGCGCGTGGGTTGCTCATTGAAGCCGGGCTACCCGACTATTTCTGGCCTGATGCGGTGCGGAGTGCGTGTGTGGCCAAGAACAGAGCCTTGACTCATGTGGGAGCAGACAAATGGGTGCCCTATGTGGAGTGGATTGGAAGGAAGCCAAAGGTGGATATGCTTCGGGTGTTCGGGTGCGTGTGCATGGCGCTCGTGCCTAAGCATCTTCGGCACAACAAGCTCGGTGCCAAGGCGATATGGGCTGTGCACTTGGGCATGGCTCAAAACAGCAAGGGGTGGCTTCTTTGGGACCCATTCACCAAGAAATTCTTGGTGAGCAGGGACTGTAAATTCATGGAGAATCTGATGTACAAGGATTGGAAGGCGGAGAATGAGGCGAAGATAGGCATGCGGTTTGGGGAGGTGAAGAGTTCCGGTTTGGAGCATGTGGAGCTGCCCTTGGAGCTGAGCAGCGGCAGCACCACCACAAGGAAATCTTCCCTTGTGAATGGGGGAGAGGAGGCCAAGGATGCAGAGGAAGAAGAGGAGGAGGTGCAGCAAGTGAGCGAGCGTGCACCGACACTTCCTTCTCGCACTACGAGTGCTCCACGGATCCGAGTCACCCCGCAGCAACGCCAAGGCCTTCATGTCCCTGCAGCTGAGGAAGAAGGAAGGGGAAAAAGGAGAACCCAAGCCCCAAATAGGCTGACCTATGAGGCACTGGGAAAGCCAGCCAAGTCAGCTCTGGCCGGAGCGTCACTTATAGTTGGAGATGACGAGGAGAGTGACTACGACGAGTGTGCCTTCGTGTTCTTCTCTCCGGTGGAGATGCCGGGAGAACCAGCAACTCTCAAGGAGGCCTTGGAGAGTAGTGATGCTGAGGAGTGGAAGAAGGCAATGGAGAGTGAGCTGAAAAGCATTGAGGAGAACGGCACGTGGGAATTGGTGGAGCTACCGGAGGGGCGTAAGGCGATTACGTCCAAGTGGCTCTTCAAGATCAAGTCCGACGCCAACGGCAATATCGAGCGCTACAAGTCTAGGCTTGTGGCCAAGGGGTACCAGCAGAAGGAGAAGGTGGACTATAAGGAGTTGTTTGCTCCTGTGGTGAAGCCGACGACGCTGAGAACCCTACTCGCGGGAGCTACCATCAAAGGATGGGTGGTGAAACAAATGGATGTCACAACGGCATTCCTCAACGGCGTCCTTGAGGAAGAGATTTTTATGGCGCAGCCAGAGGGGTTTGATGATGGTAGTGGCAGAGTTCTGAGGCTGAAGAAGGCCCTTTATGGACTGAAGCAGGCCCCTAGGCAGTGGTACTTGAAGCTGCGAGGAGTTTTGGAGGAGATAGGGTTCACTCCTTCATCCGCCGATCATTCCTTGTTCATGCTTGGCGAGGGGGAGCAGAGGAGTTTCATGGTGGTTTATGTGGATGACATCCTCATTTTCTCACCCTCTTCTGACCTTGTGAAGGAGGTGATGCTGAAGCTTCAAGACAAGTTCAAGTGCAAGGCACTTGGTGACGTGAGCTTCTACCTCGGGCTTCACATTGAACGCGATGTAGAGAAGCGGTGCATGCGGGTGCATCAACGAAAGTACCTGGAGGCATTGGCTGCCAATTTTGGGCTGAGTGAAGGCCATGTGGCTACACCCTTTCCCTCTGGGTTCAAGTGTGTGAAGGGACCAGAGGAGGAGAGCGTTGGTGAAGAGGAGAGGCGTCGTTTTCACTCGTTGGTGGGCAGCCTCATGTACGCGGCGGTAAACACCCGACCGGACGTCGCGTTTGCTACCGGACAGTTGGCTAGGGTTGTTCAATGCCCTAATGAAGAGCAGGTAGCAGCTGAAATGAGGGTGGCCAAGTATCTTGGCCAAACACTGACCGTTGGGCTGCAATATTCGGCGGCGGCGCAAAGGCGCCAAAAGGGCGCGGATAGTGTTGAACCCGGGCGTTTGTTCCTCACCGCATTCTCGGAAGCTTCTTTTGCATCAGAACCAGAGGACATGACAAGTGTTGGAGGGTTCATTTGCTGTGTTGGTGGAGGCCCAACTGCTTGGAGAGCAAGAAGCAGGTGGATCAAGCATTGAGCTTGGTGGAGTCCGAGTATATGGCACTCTTCCGTGCCGTACGAGAGATTGTGTGGCAGCGGCGTTTGTTGGCTGAATTGGGGGAGGAGCAGCAAGGACCTACCCCACTCTACTGTGACAGCCAGGGTGCCATTGCTCTTGCTAAGAACCCTGTGTTGCATGGCCTCACCAAGCACATGAGGGTGAAGTGGCATTGGACGAGGAGCATGGTGACCGCGGGTGAAGTTGAGTTGCACTATGTGAAGACAACAAGGCAGCCAGCTGACATGATGACCAAGAGGCTGGTGGAGCAGCAGCATTGGAAGTGTTGCAAGCTGGCTGGGATGGCTCTGAACTGAGAGAGCAAGATCCTAAGGCCAACAATCCGAGGGGGAGTTTGTTGGTGCAACCCTACGGTTTGCATTCGGCTTGTTGTCCGTGTGCGTGCATGCGTGTGTGCATGGAATGGTATGAGAGCATGAAATAATATATATATTTCATGCTTACAATAGTGTGTGAATAATGAGGCATGATTTTGAATGTGTGTGTTGAGTCAATAGCGAGTTATCGCTAGTCGCGTGTCATGTCGTCGTTTGCGTGTCGTGTGCGGTTTTCTATTTTTGTCGTGTGTGGAACGTTCGGCGTGTCGCAGGTGTGCGCAGAAGACTTCCAAGAACTCAAGGAAGAATTTATCTTGAAGAACCAGAGCCTTGGTTTCAAAAATCAAGTGATTTCGAAGCTCTCCAAAAGGGTAAACTTTAAGATAGTGAGAATAGTTGCATTACTTTATGTAGTGTAACATTTCTCTTGGTGTAGGCCCTTGTGGAGGGTAGTTTCGAGACCCTTCGTGGTTGGGGACAGTGTGACACTGTTCCACATCACTGTACCTCGGCTCTTGGGGTTTGTAGGAGCTGGGAGTCATTCCCAACTCGTAACTCTTCCTAACTCTTCCTATCTTGTGTTCTAAGACTATAGTGGCTGCCATAGTACCGTTCGTTCAAACCGACGCTGTGTCGTCAATTCTTTATGAAATCGTGCAATATAAATTGCTTATTGTAGGCGACGTTAAGACGCTCCAGATCCAACTTGAATCAAGTAATTTGCAGCTGTGAGCAGAACGGTATCAACGTTTGAAGCCGCTGTGCAGAAATCCGTCTGTGCTCTCTATCTTTCGTTTTAGGCACATTCAAGCCTATTGTGACTATAACAATGGCCTTGTTGTCTACGTACAGGACTGGAGGCGAACGAGGCTGCTCTCCCAAGTCGGTCAGCAAGTAGGTGAGCCAGCGTAGCTCCTGAGCAGCCATGGCTCCGGCGTAGATCTCAGCCGCACAACTGGAGTTGAGAACCGAAGACGAGCGGGTAGACCGCCAAGAAACAGAGCCGGACCCAAGACTGAAGGTGTAACTCTGTGACGACCACTGCGTAGCTAAGTCGTCAACTCAGGAGGCGTCTGCGTGACCAGTGAGGACAACTGGACCCCATCCTCCAAGCACAAGCCCCATGCCCGACGTACTGCACAGGTAACGCAGTACCCTCTTTGCAGCATCCCAGTGCAACTTTCGGTGCCTGTCGGGAGCCATGTAGCGGGCCAGAAGGCTGAGAGGGTACGCGAGGTCAGGTCGTGTGCAAGTCATCAGGTACATGAGGCAACCCACAAGCTCTGGGTACGGACCACTCGGCTCTACGGACTCGTCCGAAGGTGGAGCTGAGAGCGAGTGGCTGGTAGATAGAGGAGTGAGCTGTGGCGAGGAGTACTTGAAGCCAAAGCGCTGAAGGACCTGGTGCACCATGTGTGACTGAGTCAGTGTGATGGTGCACCGTGCTTTGTCCCGGGTGATCTGCAGGCCAAGATAGCTGCGCAGTTCACTCAGGTCAGTGCAGGTGTGTCTCTTCTGCAGCTCGGACTTCACAAGGGTCAGTGCCTCAATGTCAGCAGTGGCAAAGACAAGGTCGTCGACGTACACGAGGACGTAGAACGGCGGAAGCTAGGTGTCGTTGCGTAGAAACAACGACGGGTCTGCTGTAGAAGGAGCAAACCCAAGAGCCGCAAGCGTAGTCCTCAGTGTGGCGTGCCAATCGCGAGGCGCCTGCCGCAGACCGTAGACTGGCCGGCGGAGGCTCCACTGAGTACCTGCAGGAAACGTCCCAGTGAAACCAGGTGGTCGGCGCAGCCAGAACCCGACGGCCGCTTCACCCTGAAAATCCACATGCCATCGACTATGTTCACCCCAGGTGGGGGAACCTCGTCGACGTAGGTGCCTATGGACTTCCATGATGCCATCTCGGCATCCATAGCTGCCTGCCAATGAGAGGAGTAAGGACCCGTAATCGCCTCTGCGTAAGAGCGCGGGGTCGGGATGTCTGGAGCATCCGGGTCTCCCTCAGGGGCAAGCAGCATGGAAGCGAAACGAGGTACAGCAGCTGCGAGACACTCAAAGTCCTCCTGCCTGTCCTCAAGGACGTCCATGCCAAGAGCACACTCACCCCCGACGGAAAGAGGACTGGCAGACACAGACTCAGCAACGAGAGCAGTGGCGTAGTCGAGACTGCAGGCAGCAGCAAAGTCAAGCAGCTCAGCAACGAGAGTAGACGCAGCAGCAGACTCAAAGTACGGGTCAGTGACAGCAGTGGCAAGAAGACGAGCGACACTGGGACTGGCAGCACGCGCTCGATCAGACTAAGGGTCAGGGACCTCATGAAGAGAGGACTCAGGAGGAGCAGGCAGAGGAATACGCAGTGGAACAGAGGAAGGACGGAGTGCCATAGCGTGCGTGCCGGGGACAGGAGGAGGACGCGAACGAAGAGCGCGACGAGCAGTGCGAACAGGCGAGACAGGACGAGACGCAGGCTCACGACGCTCTGTAAGACCTCCGGACTGCTCAGTGTAAGGAGAGGGAGCAGGCAGTGGGGAGGCTGGCTGTAACTGTTATAGTCACAATAGGCTTGAATGTGCCTAAAACGAAAGAGAGAGAGCACAGACGGATTTCTGCACAGCGGCTTCAAACGTTGATAGCGTTCTGCTCACAGCTGCAAATGACTTGATTCAAATTGGATCTGGAGCGTCTTCACGTCGTCTACAATTAGCAATTTAGATTGCACGATTTGATAAAGAATTGACGACACAGCGTCGGTTTGAACGAACGGTACTATGGCAGCCACTATAGTCTTAGAACACAAGATAGGAAGTATTACGAGTTGGGAATGACTCCCAGCTCCTACAAACCCCAAGAGCCGAGGTACAGTGATGTGGAACAGTGCCACACTGTCCCCAACCACGAAGGGTCTCGAAACTACCCTTCAATAGGGCCTACACCAAGTGAAATGTTACACTACACAAAGTAATGTAACTATCTTCAATATCTTGAGGTGTACCCTTTTGGCAAGCTTCGAAATCACTTGAGGCTTGACACCAAGGCTCGGGCTCTTCATCACAAACTCATCCTTGCGTTCTTGATGGGTCTGCTGCACACACCTGCGACACGCCGAACGTTCGACACAGGACAAAATAGAAACCGCGCACGACAAAATAGAAACCGCGCGCGAGACACAAACGACCGCGTAACACGCGTCTCGCGATAACTCGCTATTGACTCGACACACACACTCGACATCATGACTCAACATTCACACACAATTATAAGCATGAAATATATATTATCCCATGCCCTCATACCATTCCATACACACACACATTCACGCACACGGACAACAAGCCGAGTGCAAACCGTAGGGTTGCACCAACAGTAACGGCGGCTGCGACTGGTCAGGCGGTGGACACAAGAAGGAAGGAGGAAGACCAGTAGGCGGGACACCAAGAACCTGCTGAAGCAAGGGAACGAAGTACGGTCGCGACCGCACAGTGTCTCCAGCACCTCTAGCTCCAGGGTCAACAGCTCCAGCTCCTGCAGCTCCAGCGCATCCGGCGCCAGTGCCTCCAACTCTAGCTCCTGCAGGCCCAGCGCCTCCTGCACCAGGGCCCCCAACTCCAGCTACTCCAGCTCCAGCGCCTACAGCGCCAGCTGCTCCAGGCTCCGTAGGGTCTCCAGCTCCAGCGCACCCAACACCACCAGTCCCGACAGCTCTAGTAGGAACAGCAACACCTCCAGCTCCAGTGTCTCCTGCCCCTCCAGCTCTAGGAGCCCCACTCCGACGGTGTGGGCGCCGAACAAGCCACTCACGCAGCTGCTGCGAGGACAGTCGCGGCGAAGCACCAGCAGGACCTCCAGACGAAGCAGCACCCTGAGGCTCAGCACCCCCAGACTCCGCACCCTTCGACTCAGCACCCCCAGGCTCAACACCCTCGTGCTCAGCACCCCCAGACCCTGCACCCTCAGACCCCGCACCCCTCGGCCCCGCACCCCCAGACGCAGCACCTGGAGCAGCACCTGAGACGACAGCTACCTGAACAGGCGCAGTACCAAGGAGAGGGTCTACCTGAGACACTCCCGAGGGAGCAGGACCCTGGGGCGGGAGGGGGTCTACCGGAGGTGGACCGGGAGCAAGGAAGAGCGGCGGGGGCGGGGGAGGGGCAGAGCGGTAGGGGAAGAGACGGTAGAAGGGAGCCGACTCGTCGAACGTGACGTCCTGAGACGGGAGGACACGGCGCGAGGTGGGGTGGTAAAACTGCCAGCCAGGCGCATCAGGGACAAAGCCAAGGAAGACGCAAGGAATGGCGCGGGCGGAGAGCTTGTCTGCGGACGTATCGCGAACAAAGGCACGAGAACCCCAGACCCGGAACACTGACGCATCGCCAACCTTCCCCGTCCAACGCAGTGTGGGCGAGGTCTCCGACAAGGAGACACGGGGCCAGAGGTTGAGCTAATACGCAGCGTACCGGACCGCAAACGGCCACAGAAAATGGGGAGCAGCCGCATGGATCATGGAGGTACGAGCGACCTCCATGACTACGCCAATGCGGCGCTCAGCAATCCCATTTTGCTGAGGGGAGTCCGGAAGTATGAACGACTGGGTGATGCCCTCCCCACGACAAAAGTCCCGCAAGAGGTCGGAGGAGATCT